TTTTTTATTCTAATTGTTTGGTATGGTTATGAGCAGGGGAGAAACAGGCAGCCACTCATGTGTCCCTGGACCAGGAATATGACCAGGATTTGGCAGCCATGTGGTATCACCTAGAAGAGCAGCTTGTGGCTGCCAGCAACCGGGGAATAGTTCCTGGAAACTTCCAGCCCACCCAGTGCTGCCTGAATAGCCAGACGGACAACCTGCATCACCCACTGGCTGTGGTAGAGGGTAAGAATGCCTCAGCAGACACTAATGAACAGTGTTTACATTTTTGTGGTCAGAAGTCACTGTCACCTCATGTCTGTCCCATCCCGTTGAACATGATTTTGGTGGTCAACGGTCAGTGACCTCATGTCTGTCCCATTCAGTTCAGTTCAGTTCAATTCAGTTTTATTTATATAGCACCAGATCACACAAAAATCATCTCAGGGCACTTTACATAGTAAGGATCTAGACCTTATCAGGGTCCCCATGCTTCCAGGAAATCCTGGAAAAAATGACATTTTTATGCAACCAAACATAACAAGAACAAACTACAACAGTTAGGACCACAGAAAGAGTAATCAGGACCAACCTGCCCCCTGAATGACCTGTACGCTGGGTCAACAGGAAAGGCAGAGAAGATTTCTACAGACCCCTGACATCCTGGACACAAACCGTTTGAGCTTCTCTCTTCTGGATGGTGCTGCCGAATAACCAGATACCGAAACAGTCTCTTTTCCTGCGCTGTCAGTCTTTTTAACCGTTAATCCAGGTCGTCTGGATAAAAGCAAACACTCCCAGTGCAATAACTTGTAAATCTAACCATTGCATATTTTATCCAAGCTCTTCTTTTACATTGTAATACATATACATATACATATTTATTAGTAGATTCCTTATCTCTTGCTTTTTTCTTATTTCCTTATTTCTTTTTCTTTCTTTAATCTGACTGCACATACATTTTCTTGTTGCCTACAAGAGTACATTGAGCGCCACTGTATCAAAGTCAAATCCTTGTGTTTTCAACATACCTGGACAATAAAGCTGACTCTGATTTTAATTCTGAAGTTACAAGGGAGCTGTTTTGTTATGTAACTATGGCAACATAGTGTAAAGAGTTGTAAAATAAGCAGTTCCATCACTGATATACAGCCTCTCTCTGTCTCTGCAGAGCCAATCATAGTGGAGGTGACATTCAGGAACCCTTTGAAGGTTTCTTTGGCTCTGTCAAATCTCTCACTCCTCTGGAATTTCAGTGGTGACGGTGCGTCTTCAACAAAGGAGAAGATGACTGAAGAGTTGTCACAAAAAGCCATAACCAATGAGGAGACCCTGGCTCTGGGGGTGGGCAGCCTGGAGATAATAATTTCCTCTTAGGAATTAGGGTTTTTATTCACTTTGATGGCTGTAATAAAATCCAAAGCTATGATTTTCATGTTCTAATCATTATCTGTTCCCTCTTGCAGATGAGACAGAAAGATGACATTGTCACCACTGAGACCATCCTGGAATTTTATATGGGTCCAGAAGAGACCAAAATGGTAAAGTGCTCACATCACTCTCTGAAAGTAGTGTGGAGTGTGGTGAGCAGGTTACTCAGAGCAGTTGTCTCATACTTCTTTACATTCACTGTGCTATGCACTACTTGATTACTGTAAAATACGCTTATACATGAAGCAGGCCAGTAATCACAAAGAGGTGCACTTTTCAGGCACTTGCCCTTCAGGCAAGTAGCTGAGGTGTTTTACTTGCCTGATAGCCAAACTTTAAATGGAAAATGCATGCAATGAATCTCCAGCACCTTCTTTGGTTCATTAGATAATTCAGACTGAAAAACATCAACACAAATTGTGCTGTTAAGTGTCACTTTGAACTTTGGTTCACAGGCCCGACTCAAGCTTCTGCCACACAGAACTGGACAGCTGAACATTGTTGGTGTGGTGTACAACCTGTCTGCAGCCTCTCTTGCAGAGATGACTCCCAGCACTGACGGTAATGCACACTGTCTGCTTTAATTATGGTTGATTCACACTTATGCTTGACAGTCTTGTTGGTGTCACTACAGTTGTATGCAGAACTACCAGACAAATTACACAGTATGTTACCTTTTGAAGTGGAAAGAAGAGAATCCTAACCATGCAGCAGAGACATTAAAGATGAGCTGTTCTTCACATTTTATCATTATTTTTTATTTTGGGCACTTAAAAAAATGTAACTAATTTTGGCATGTAAAAGGCTAGGCACCCGACTAAGTCAGTACTTAGTAACCCCACTTTAGAGTGTGCAAAGCTTTTGTAGCCAGCTTTTTGTTCTTGATTTAGGATTTTTCACCCACTCGTCCTGCAGATTTGATTTGATTCATTCTTTCAAGCATGTAAAGACAGTTGATATATCAACACACATAATTTTACACATATCCAACAAATGCTAATCCAATATCAATTTGCTTATACCTAGTACATGCTTGAATGGAGTAGGAAGAAGTCAGACTTATCCAGTCCTACCCCATGACAATTTTAAGATCTACCCACACTCATGAATGGATTTTGAAGTATGCATCTTTTTGGTTTCAGGTTCTTTACTGCCATGACATCTGCATTCAATTCTGAATGCTATTTTGTAAAAGCCATTCTTCACTCTATCTGAGCAGTTTGTCCTGTGCCACTGGCTGCTGCACAGCCCCAAAGCTTAAAGCTGCCACACTTAACAGTCGCCAAACTCAACCGTGGTGACTGTGGCAAAAAAAACTTCATTTAATTTGATCTGTCCACAACACTTGTTTCCAAAATGACTCTGACTTACTTAGATGTTGCTTTGCATAGTTATGACCAGCATTGGGGAGGAAGTTACATATAACAGTGTTATGTAATTACAGAATAAATAACTGTAATTTATTAGTTATTGAGAAAAGAACTATTCAAGTGACTGATCAAAATCTTAATTACAAAGGGGGTACATTAGGGACTACATTTGAATAGATTCTCTTCAGTAAAAAGCATATATGTAAAATACAGCATTTGTTCTGTTGCAAAGCAACACTTTAATAGATACACCTGTACAATTGTATGCAATGCAACATTTCTCTGTTTATGATGCTTAAATGTTTCAGTTTTTGATGAAGTTGTCATGCATGTATAAAATCAATGAGGTCATAGATACAGGTAGTGTTGTTCTGGACTATATTATAGTAATATTCTGACCCTCTCATGCATGTAGCTGGGGAGGCCAAAAGAAGAGATGCCCAAATATAATATAATCCAGCACAAAACACTTGTAACATTGACCACAGTAGTACCCATATAATTGAACTGATACACTTATGAAAATTTCACCAAAAACTGAAACGTTTTGAGCTTTGTAAACACAGATGATAAGACACAACTATACATGTACCTAATAAAATGGCTGGGCAGTGTAGATGGGGTAGAGTAGGATAGGATCCATTCATTTGGCAGTATGCGCTCAAGGTCAATTAGGTTTAACATGTTAATGAATCTGAGTGTTTTACAAGTTGAAGGGTACCCAAACATCTGGACATCCCACAATTACTGTTAATAAAAAAAATGAAGTTCATGAAATAAGAAGTAACAGTGCATTAACATTTGAAGAAAAGCTCATTTTAATGCTGGTGGGAATTTTCTTCTTTTCACTTTGGAAATCAACAGGGCTGTCCAAACATTTGTATGCAACCGTATGTTGTATCTGTTTTAAGATCCAGAAAAAACCTGCGTGGCTCTTTATACAGTCCAGATGGTAATAATTTGGACAATGACCTTTTCACTCCACTATGCTCCGCACTCCACCTGACCTGTTGTGAACATGAAACAGGTCACAGTTTGGAGAGAAATTCAGCCCCATAGCTGAGTGGTTATGGCGCGGCGCACCGTCTACTTGGCATTATGCTGCCTGCGTGATGTCGACATTTGTCGCAGGTCTCTGCCCCGCTCTCTCTCTGTCTCTCTTGTTTCCTGTCTGCCTATTGGCAATTTACTGTAAAATAAAGGCTAAAATATAATTTACAGA